TTTCTTCAGTTATTATGATGTTCATACATAGGCAACGCTTTACGTTTGTCCTTGGGCGAAAGCTTATTTTAATTTCCGTTGTAAAGCGAATGTGTTTTGTTTAGCGTTGCATGACCATTGTTGAAACAATGCGCTGATTCGTCTGTCAGATAAGTGGAACTGGGTCAAAATCAGGTTAACATTTTCATAAAACTGTAAAGAAAACAAAAACATCTGCTCCAATAATCAGATTGTAGAGTTAGGTGGTCAGTTCTATTTATTGCCAAATGAATTAAAAAAATGACACGTTTATTATGGAATAATTAGATGCCAGTACAGTTCCTCTGCTGTAAATTAAATCTCATTTAAACTTTCTCCTGTAGAGAAAACAAAAAGATAACAATTCTGAATATATTACGCGTTAAGTTTCATGCCACCAACACAATGGAAGAAGACACATATATATAGAATGAAAAACACAATCCTATTTACAGTTGTTCGGAAGCTCTTCAGCACTGGCTAAGGCTCTTATTGCGATGGCTCGTAAGAAACTCATCTGTTTTCCCTTATTGTCTTTCCTGAAACTAATTCGTGTCTGTGATTCTGTTGTGATGCCGGTAGAGGAAGAATTCCCTGAAGAATATCCTAATTATGGTTTCAGTTACACTTTTCAACACTGTTTACGCGATGAAGCAGGACATTCCATAGGAAAAGTGTTACCCTGTTTCAATAAAGGTGCATTTGCTGGCTTGATGGAAGCTGACGAACGCGATAGTGTAGAAATTTCAAATGGTGTAACCTTAATCAAGGACATGAAGGACAAATCACAAAGGACATTCATTTCACCACATGTGGACCCTACAGATTACAGGAATGTATTAGAAGCTACGGCAGAATTAATTGGGAGACGATCTCTGAGATGGGATATGAGTTTTATCCATCCTGGACTAGTCATGAGAGTTGGACCTGCAATTAACGGCGCTAGTGTTCTGGAATTTGTTATGGAACGCGGCTACACCACACACTACGACAGGACAGTTGGCACAGGTATGTGATACACTGATATATTGGGTTTCTGGACTTCATCCATCGTCCTGGTTTTTAAGATAACAAATAAAAACACGACGTTNTAACTACAGGTATGTGATGTTCATATTTACTGGCTTTTGTATTACTACTTTGGTGTGCATGATTAAATACGGGGTATGAATTCGATATTCGATTTATTGACATCACTCTGAACTACACGCATTTATGGCGTTATCAATGGACTCGAGAATTTTAACAGTACATTACAGCACTCGCTAAGCCATTTTCCAGCCTGCCGTGTCTTAAACCAACCGTTCCCTGGCAACGGCTCCTAACATGGAGATGTTTTAGCTCCTCGCGGACAAGTCCTCTTGTCACAGCCTCCCGTGCAGAACTCTTGTCAATTCACTGCCAACTGACAAATGTCAACTCCGTAACTCTCAATCGAATTCTTTGTTGCAACTGCCAACTATCTCGTTGTCATCTCTTTTCTATTATCTTCGCAGAACTCAAATTTCGACGGCCAATTCTCAGCTGACTCTCAATTCAGAGTCAGACTTAATTTACAGCCAATCAGTTCGTCTTGGCG